TGTGAACGGTTCATTTGGCCCTCAAGAGGACTGTGCAGCATCGTGCCTCGCACCTTGCGAGCCAGGTGGCTTCAGGGAGTGTTGAAGTGTTAACAAAGCTTTAGGGCACTCACGACTTTACGAGTCTGCATCTTCCTTAGGGTTTAGGGTTTAGGGTTTAGGGTTTAGGGTTTAGGGTTTAGGGTTTAGGGTTTAGGGTTTAGGGTTTAGGGTTTAGGGTTTAGGGTTTAGGGTTCACACCTTCTCTCAGCATGAAAACCAGCTGGACTCCTCCATGCTGCTTCTGGGACACGGCGGATGAAGAGCACGGCCCAGTGTTACAAAGGCGTTTCGTCTTTCAAGCCCCTAGAGTCCTAGAGTTTCAACATGTTTTCGCTTTGACCATCATGCCAATGCCAAGACCATAGGGGAGTTCCTCGCCAAAATTCGTTCTGGTGTCGGGTTTTGCAAGGCCTCAGATTCCTGCGGAGGCAGCTCCCAATCTCTCCGAACTCGAAGAAGTCGTGCATGCGGCAACCACACTAAACCCTAAACCCTAAACCCTAAACCCCAAACCCCAAACCCCAAAATGACACAAGGTCACCCCACGACCCCGACATCCCCCGCAAGGAGAGGCGTAGTGCAGCAGCGCGTCGGTGCGAGGATAGATGCGGACCTGGCAGCTGAGCATGGAGCTGGGTTCAGGGTTTAATTTTTTAAGGTTTTCAGGGTTTCGGGTTTAGGGTTTAGGGTTCAGGGGTCAGGGGTCAGGGGACTTTCTTGGAGAAGTGGATAAAAAGCATCATCGGAGAGTCGTCCAACCTTCCTCCATCTGAGGGCGAAGCCACGGCAATGGGGATCACCGCCTCCAGGTCCACGCTCCACCAAGGGTTGGCCTCTCAGGGTTTAGGGTTTAGGGTTCAGGGTTTAGGGTCTCACTTTCAGAAGCGCATTTCGGCGCTCCAAAGCTCCATTAGGGCTTAGCGTTTATATAGGGTTCAGGGTTTAAGGCTTAGTATGGTTTAGGGTTTAGTAGGGTTTTGGGTTTTGGGTTTTGGGCTTTGGGTTTTGGGATTTGGGTTTTGGGTTTTGGGTTTTGGGTTTTGGGTTTTGGGTTTTGGGTTTTGGGTTTTGGGTCTAGGCTCGGCCTGCCAATCGGTGATGGCACAGCCGCTGGAGAAGTAGAGGTGGCTGCCTCACGGTCACGCCGCCCCCCCCCCCCCCGGCCACCCTGCCCACAGGCTCTGGCAGATTCGACATTTTGGGGGTATCTGCCCTAAACCCAAACCCTAAACTGCCCTAAACCCTAACCCCTAAACCCTAAACCCTAAACCCTAAACCCTAAACCCTAAACCCCAACCCGTAAACCCTAAACCCTAAACCGTGAACATGATGAAGCAGCAAACACACCAAGCTGAGACCGAGCTGCCATAGTCACCGTCCACGGCCTGAGTCCAAGGACGTCAACTCAAAAACTCCATGTCATGATATAAGGTTACGTTATTTCTACTGACACCAATATCAAAATACATGTTTATGGTCATTGCGAAGGCTATGACATGCTATGACTATTCTCGCTATCGTGCGTCAGGGTTCAGGGTTTAGGGTTTCCGAAAATAGGATACCTCACGACGGGGACACCAAATTTTAATTCCCAAAAGTAGGATTCTCGTATAAGAAGGACCCCAATAAGGTACCCCTAATTTAGGGACCACCCCCATATTGTGTCCCTTGATTCTGGTGTTCTATTTCGTTGCAATAAGAAAATGCTATGTTAATCTTCCCTAAACCCTAAACCCTAAACCCTAAACCCTAAACCCTAAACCCTAAACCCTAAACCCTAAACCCTAAACCCTAAACCCTAAACCCTAAACCCTAAACCCTAAACCCCAACCCCTTTTCTCATAATACCATATCGCCGTGGGAAGCCCAGGCTGGCGGCTCTGTCCGCGGTGGTGAAGGCTGCCTCGATGTTCCCGTTCGAAGATTGCGTTGCCTCCGTGCTGGCAGGGAGAAAAGAGAGGAAAGAGAGGTTCAGGGTTTGGGGTTTAGGGTTTAGGGTTTAGGGTTTAGGGTTTAGGGTTTAGGGTTTAGGGTTTAGGGTTTAGGGTTTAGGGTTTAGGAGTCCTCTATATGGCGGCTGGCACCCCTTCCTTCTAGGAGTGCAGGTAGTCTGGAAAGTGAGAGCAGATGAGATGCCTGAACCACCCCCTCCCCCCCCCCAAAAAAAAACATACACAATAATCATGATAATAATAACAACAAAAATCTGGGAAGCTGACCTTTTTGTAAGTCGCTGGATTTGAGGATGAGCCTGGCGCGTCGCCACCGGGCACTTCGGTGCTTGAAAGGCTTAGCACGCTTGCGGGCAGACTCTTTCGATGAGCTGCGGCGGGACACCGGGAGCGTTCTCACGCGCTCTCACGATCGCTTCGAAACAGCACCAAGCCACCATCTACCATGATCTACCATGATCTACCCTGGCTGTGCAGAAGGAGACACTCAGACGCGTCCACCCGACTCACTGGGCAGGCATCTTCGGCCTTAAGGGAGCAGCAACACAACTCCATTCACACAGCCAAACAGCTTTACGTAAACTCACGGGGCTTCAAGAGGGTGCACCGTTGTGCGTTTGCGCCACGAGGCTGAAGTGCTCCAGTTGGGGGAGATCTGGGCAGACAGACCAGCTGCGGAGGGAGCCCTGAGGCTTTCGTTTTGAAACTCCACCAACAGGCCTTTGGTGCTCACTGAGTGCCAGGCTCCCTTTTGGGGCTCGCCGCCTGCCCAGCAGATCTATTGCTTTTCACCCCAAAAGCACACTATGCGGCAGAAGCTCAGCTGTCCTCGAGACTTAGATTACCTTAGCCTGCTGTCATGAGAAAAACCCTCACTCCCTGCGCCTTCATCCCCCAAAACAGGCTGCAGCTTCGCACTGCCTCGGTGACGGCAGAGGTGAAATGAGGCGCAAAAGAGGCTCCAAAGCCTCGCAAACCTTCTAACAAAAACCGCAAACCGTTTGGGGCTGGCGCAATGTAGCCGGCGGCCGTCAACAGCACCAGCTGCAGCAAGCCATACCTTGCGACGCTTCTTCCACATCTCTTGGGCCACAATCTTGGTTAGGCTACCAAATGCCAAATGAGATCCACTCCGGGACGGACATGGCTGAAAAAAAACACATATAAATCTGTACATGTATTTGTATGTCTTCATCTATTTGTTTATTTTCATATCTGCCTATTTACTTATAGATATATATATATATATATGTATAACAAAGAATTAAGAAACTGGAAGGGGGTGGGTCTTTCAGCGCAGCAGATGGCAGGCGAACATGGCAGGGCCGTTCTCTCCGAGGCGCGGGTTGCGGCCTCCTGTCAGCCAAAGGCCCGGCGCAATGCAGATTCTAAGAATCCATCAGGGTAGCTCTCTACATAGGTTTTTTTTTTGGGGGGGGGGTCCTTACTTTAAGGGGTGCCGTACTATGTTGAGGGACATAACAAGGTACGCTGGTGTAGAGAACGGCTCTTAAAGACTGAAAGAGGCCTGAAACAAACAGAGGGGGTGCCCAAGAAGAAGGTGACCGGACTGCACAGCGCACCGGAATCCCCCTAAACCCTAAACCCTAAACCCTAAACCCTAACCCCAGAACCTCCCCGCCATCTCCCGTCCTTGGACAAGCAAGGCCCTCACCAGGGGTGGTGCCAGGAAGCGGCTCAGCGACGAGGAGCCGAGCGCCTGCCAGGCGTCTGAGACGGGTTTAGGGTTCTAGGGTTTAGGGTCATAGGGTTTAGGGTCTACGGCTTAGGGTATCTGAGGGCTCCCGAGAATTCTGAGGGCTCTCAGGGGTTTTTGGGGTTTTTAAGGGGGTGTTTTCTAAAGTGCTTGAGGGGGTCTTTTGGGATGGTTTTCGGGCTTCGGGCAAGACAAGGTTTCCCTTCAGAGCTCTGCTCTCTCTGCCGCCCCGGCACGGCCAGGTGGAAGGACGAAGGGCTCCAGGTGCTGTTCGGCGCCGCAGCCTTCGCTGAGTTCCGGGTCTTGCGGGCTCAGAAGGCGATCTAACGTTCAAGGCGCTCGCGACACTTGCATGGTAAAACCTGAAGATGAGGATCCTGTGGGAAGCCTTGAGGCTCTGGGCAAAGAAATCTCCAGACAACCTGTCAAATCGACACAAGTATCCTGGGTCTATGTGCACATTGCTGCTGGGAAAAAGCCGAACCATCACACAATCTCACAGGCAAAGCATAGGCAGCTTGGCCTAAAAAACTGTTCAAGGTTCCACCTAAACCCCAAACCCCAAACCCTAAACCCTAAACCCTAACCCCTAAACCCTAAAGTAGCCTCGAAGTTTCGCCACACATCTGATTCGAAACCTTGGGGGGGGCTCTAAAGCTGCTTCATAGACTATTTTGAGATCTGGAGATCAGAAAAACAGACCGGCTGTCGATCACAACTGAACTTTGGCTTTTTTTCAATTTGGAAATCAGGAAACAAACGCAATGCTCGCATGATTGCAGGCCTTTAAGCCTAAACCCTAAACCCTAAACCCTAAACCCTAAACCCTAAACCCTGTGTCAGTCAAGCTGCGCGCTTTGCCCAACGCTCCGCAATGGCGCTGGCCGGGACCGCGGTGCTCTGCAGCCTGGCCCCGTCGCACCATCAAGCACTTACCACAACCAGGTTTAGGGTTTAGGGTTTAGGGTTTAGGGTTTAGGGTTTCGGGTTTAGGGTTTAGGGTTTAGGGCTTAGGGTTTAGGGTTTAGGGTTTAGGGTTTAGGGTTTAGGGTTTAGGGTTTAGGGTTTAGGGTTTAGGGTTCAGGGTTCAGGGTTTAGGGTTTAGGGTTTAGGGTTTAGGGGAGAAGACGGATGAAAGCTGCACTGCAAACGACTGCACAAACCCGACGAGGCGGCGAGCGAGCCCTGCCCTTGTAAGCCCCCAAGCGACCTTGTGGCTGCGGGGCCCTCCCCCGCCCTCCGGTATCGGAAGTCTTCGCGAAGGGGGGTACGGAACGCCAAGTGAGAACGCAGAACTCTCACGATTCCTGGTGGGATGTAAATAGGGCTCCACGACTACCTTCATAGGAATTCGAGTCGTATAGGGTAAAGGACCCCCCCCCCAACTTTAGGCTTCATAATGCGTTCCCAGGGATGGGGACACAGGAACATACCCTAAACCCTAAACCCGAAACCCTAAACCCTAAACCCTGTCAAGCCCCCAAACTCTAAACCCTAAACCCCTACACCCTACACCTAATGCCCAATTCACCCTCAACCCTAAACCCTAAACACACACAAGTGCAGCGGAGGAGCAGGATGTCTCCCACCAGCAAGCCGCCGACTCCCAGGGCCTGCTTTCCCCCAAAGAGCGGGGAGAGAACGCCGCGGGACAGAGAAGGGCTTAGGGTTTGGGGTTTGGGGTTTAGGGTTTGGGGTTTGGGGTTTGGGGTTTGGGGTTTGGGGTTTAGGGTTTAGGGTTTAGGGCTTAGGGTTTAGGGTTTAGGGTTTAGGGTTTAGGGTTTAGGGTTTAGGGTTTAGGGTTTAGGGTTTAGGGTTTAGGGTTTAGGGTTTAGGGTTTAGGGTTTAGGGTTTAGGGTTTAGGGGTTAGGGCGCGTGACCGACCTTGAGGTCGAAGACCAAGGCACAGCCAAGCAAGGACAGGGCGGCGCAGGTCATGAAGACCTCACGGCGGGTTCGCTTGGAGGTTCAGGGGGGACTTAGGAACCCAACCAAGACTGTACCTGTACCCGCAATGATAGCCCTATTTGGGGTACTCTAAGTGGGTTTTTGCATGCTTTAACTACACTTATCATGGGTTACTAAGTACCCTGAATCTCAGAGTGGTTTTGGCTGCCCTAAACCCTAAACCCTAAACCCTAAACCCCAGGGTTTCAGTTTTCGTTGCTCCGAGGGGCCATGCTCTCGCGGGTCGGAGAGTCCGCTCCCAGGGGCGCGAAGAGGAGGGAAGCCTTAGCAACTGTTTGGGGGGGTTTTAGGGAGGTTTTAGGGGGTTTAGGGGGGGTTTGGCGGGGGTTTAGCAGGGTTGAGGGGTTTACGGGCGTTTATGGGGGGTTTAGGGGGGGTTTAGGGGGGTTTAGGGGGCGTTTAGCCCGTGCAGCAACGAATCCGTGCAGCTGTGGCACAAGAGAAGCTAGGGAGATGCTGAGGCCGCTGGTCACAGCAGACCAGCCATAGCCAACCTCCAGAATCAGCATGGTCGCCGCCTGAGACTGCACACTGCTTTCACCGCAGAAACAACCCTAAACCGAAAGCAAGAGATGCCGTCCTCCGCACCAGCCGTGACGAAGGGCCGCACCTGTCAAGGGGAACTCAAAAGACAGTGCTCATAGACAAGACATGAGAGCGCATTTTCAACAAAGGCGTCAGGCACCATGAAGAAGCACGAGATCCACGACACCAGCTGCTTGCGGGCACCTGCACGCGGCGGCGCATCACCATGCCATGCCTAGGGCCTACAATGTCCGTTAGCTAAAAGGCACCTGCATCCATCTCCAACTCCTTCACTGGTGCAGCCGCCGCCGGCACCGGCAGTGTCTGAGGAAGCACCTTGATGGGCACCACCCCCTGAGCCCCCCCCTAAACCCTAAACCCCCTAAACCCTCAGAGTTCCACGTGCACCGTATACTGCTCTCTGCATCTCCAAGTAAGGCCGGCGCCAGGCTGCACAGGGCCGCACTCGCTAAGGAGACCAGCGCCTCAGCTACGAAGGGGTCACCTCATGTTTTGGAGCTGTTTAGAGACAAGGCCCGAATTTGAACCCTCAAAGGGTTCATGACCCATATATACCCTAATAAGGATCATAGCAGTGATAACCGTATTTTGTCTATGGTCCCAACTTCAGGATGCTTGTGTGACCCATAGACCCTAATAAGGAATTATAGTGGTAGATTGTATATGGTCCCAGGTTTCGGGTTTAGGGTTTAGGGTTTAGGGTTTAGGGTTTAGGGTTTAGGGTTTAGGGTTTAGGGTTTTGGGTTTTGGGTTTGGGGTTTAGGGTTTAGGGTTTAGGGTGCTGTTGTGCATCTCCCTCCTTCCCCTGCCTGCTGCCTGGGGCACTGCCAGGGCGAAAGCCTGTGGGAGACCCGAGGGGAGACCCGAAGAGACCCCCAGCAGCAGCAGCACAGGGCCTCCCAGCGTTTAGCTTTTAGGGTTTAGGGTTTAGGGTTTAGGGTAATGTTTAGGGTTTAGGGTTTAGGGTTTTGGGGCTTAGGGTTTTGGGGGCAGCAGCTGCAATATGGAAAAATTGGGGGGGGGGGGGGGGGGGGCTTTTCCCAAGCTGGGGGCATTTGTCTGAGGAACTCTGCGAGTTCTGTCTGGAGTTCTCTCGGTGCCCAGCCTGCGGCGGATCCCAGGCTTCGCGAGAACTGGACCATCGTCCTCTGCCCGAGGAAAAGCAGAGGCCATCGACCCGCACGAAGTTTTGTAAGATGGGAGGTTCCCTCGAAATTAGGGTCCTCTGGTTCCCTCGAAATTAGGGTCCTCTGTTTCGGAGCGTCGTTCTTTTTGGAGGAAACCCGACAAAGACCCAAAATTGAACTTCTAGACAATGCGCAGGTTGCACGCACTACCCATGTCGGCACCTCTAGGGACATCGCCCGGAAAAAAAATGCTTTCAAGGAAAGGCACGAGCCCGTCTCGCCAGCGATCCGCCGCTGCATCGCCAGCGCCGGCGCCAGAGCGAATCCGGCCCTGAGAGGCGGAGGTCCGAGAGGAGTCGAGGAAAGGGAGGGGGGGTTGGGGAGGGGGGGTGTTCGTGAGAAGTAGCTAAGGGAAGGCAGCTTAAGAAGAGAGGTAGTTGAGAGAAGCATTTGTGTTTCGAGACTTGGCAGTTGAAAAAAAGCCTCAAAGCAGCTCCGATAAACGTATGCCGAGATGCGAAAAGGCCTCACCCTGGCGGAGGGCAAGAAGCAGCCAGAGGCCACCGCCGGGGAACAAGGCCGACTGGGCCACGCAGGCCTTTCTTAAGCACCGTGACATGAAAAAAACACCCACAAAACCTGATAAACGATGTCTAGAGGGACTGCATATCTTGGGAGAGATGAAGCCCTGGCGCCTCCAGCAGTTGAATCGCGCTGGTCAGCAGCCCAGCCCAGACGCCTCGGAAACATCGCTGGTCACCATGAGCAAAGCAGACGCACGAACCAAAAGCCCGCCCAACATTAGGGGTTCGGGTTTAGGGTTAGGGTTCAGGGTTTAGGGTTTAGGGTTTAGGGTTTAGGGTTTAGGGTTTAGGGTTTAGGGTTTAGGGTTTAGGGTTTAGGGTTTAGGGTTTAGGGTTTAGGGTTTAGGGTTTAGGGTTTAGGGTTTAGGGTTTAGGGTTTAGGGTTTAGGGTTTAGGGTTTAGGGTTTAGGGTTTAGGGTTTAGGGTTTAGGGTTTAGGGTTTAGGGTTTAGGGTTTAGGGTTTAGGGTTTAGGGTTTAGGGTTTAGGGTTTAGGGTTTAGGGTTTGGGGTTTGGGGTTTAGAGAGAAAATAGGGGCCACCCACCAGTGCCATCAGCGCGGCAGAGCCGGCGGGCAGCCGGCTGGTCCCAGGCATCTTCACACACGCCTCGGAAAGTGCTGGGGTTTAGGGTTTAGGGTTTAGGGTTTAGGGTTTAGGGTTTAGGGTTTAGGGTTTAGGGTTTAGGGTTTAGGGTTTAGGGTTTAGGGTTTAGGGTTTAGGGTTTAGGGAACTTCGACCGGCTCAAAAGAGGTCCGGGAAGATGCGGATTTCGCACTGACGATCATTCTGTTGAATCCCACTACGGGCCTTTTCATGCTAAAAGGATAAAACCATTTGGGGCATCTTCACCATAAAAGAAGCCCTTGCTGGAGGTTCCCAAAGAGCCCAGTACCCCTTAATTTTGAGGAATACTCCTTCAATCATATTATAAGGATCCCTGTATCATTTAAGGTATATGCCCGAATTCAGGAGTATTGGGCTCTCTGGGTTCCTCTTCACTTGGCAAACTGCTCCGAGCGGCAGCTGGCACCCGCCAGCAAGCCCAGGGCGCTGCCCAAGGCGCCCGCGGAGAGTAGGAAGCCCGAGAGCACGGCCCCGTGGCCTTGGGGGGAAGGTTGAGGATTTGAGGGGGGTTTAGGGTTTGGGGTCTAGGGTTTAGGGTTTAGGGTTTGGGGTTTAGGGGTTTAGGGGTTTAGGGGTTTAGGGGTTTAGGGGTTTAGGGGTTTAGGGGTTTAGGGGTTTAGGGGTTTAGGGTTTAGGGGCTTAGGGGTTTTGATTTTGAGGTTTAGGGTTTGGGGTCTAGGGTTAGGTTTTAGAGGGACGGGCTTTAAGGGTTTCAGGGCTTTGGGCTGCGTGATATGGAGAGATGAGAGAGCGTGAGAAGCTTTGAGCGTAGCTTTATCGGGCTTTATCCATGGGATGAAGAGGCACTAAACCCCAAAACCTAAACCCTAAACCCTAGCACAAGCAGCTCGCCTTTTGGCCCGCGAAGCGTAGAGATCGAAGAGTGCCGCCAATCGAACAGGTGTCGAAAGCGGGGCTGCACAGCAGCCGAGGATTGAAAGGGGCCTGGTAGGCACACGGGTACCCAGAAGGAGGCCTAACTAAACCCCTAGCAACCACTATCCCCCCTGGGCGGGTGGGAGGGAGCCGAAAGATCTGAGGCAAATCGCGGTAAGCGGCCTCACTTCATGTGCTAGGCTGCAGCACAAGCAGCTCGCCTTTTGGCCCGCGAAGCGTAGAGATCGAAGAGTGCCGCCAATCGAACAGGTGTCGAAAGCGGGGCTGCACAGCAGCCGAGGATTGAAAGGGGCCTGGTAGGCACACGGGTACCCAGAAGGAGGCCTAACTAAACCCCTAGCAACCACTATCCACACTCACGATGCTTCGACTGAAGGTCGACAAGAGAAAAAGGACACAAGCTTGGATGCGAAAGGGCGGAGGGCTGAGATCCTGGAGCGGGAATCGGAAGGAAGACGCTGAAGGATGACTTGAGCAGCTACCTCTTGTAGGTAGAACTCTACCGTTTTCTGCCTGGCCCATCGGCCTCGCCATGCCACCTTGCTCAAGTATTCTGTGCACAAATAAAGGTAAGTGGCCCCAGATCCTCGAAGGACCCCAGGCGTAACCCCATCAGAAGCCTGCTGGAAAGGAACCCCCAGGCGCTTAAGGATGGCATTCCATTGGCTCCGGAAGGTAGTTGTTGTACCAGGGTAGAGAGGGGTTTCGAAAGTGACGTCCTCATAGAGAGAACGCAAGAAGTCGATGACACTAGGGTCCTCAAGGCGACAGTGCTGTCGACGCGCGAATCGCGCGGTCTTGGGGTTTCCCACATGCACGTATAGGATGGGCTCCTCGGACATGGCATCGGAAGGAAAAATGAGGTCCGCCCGCGTGAGATGCAAATACTCCGAAGGGTGCAGCATACATAAAAAGCCGATCAGCAGCAAAGATGTGAACTTTGGCCAGCCCCAGCACAGGGCTAAAGCCGTCATGGCTTCAACAATCGGTGCTGAGATCACTGGTCTGCATCGGCCAGGTTCAGCATGTTGCCATTTTTTGTCCACCTGCCAGGCGGCTGTGAGTTTGGTGCGATGCTGGGGGCAAACGTCTTGCACAGCCGTGATGGCGTAGACAAAGGCTTGGCGCGAGGTCGGCCATACGGGTTCAGGGAACAATGCAAATCATGCAAAAGGCTTTCTAGGTCCACATCCGATCCGGAGGTCGGCAGTTCCTGTATGACAACCCTGTCGAACTTTTCGCTGCAGCGTCCGAGCGAATCAGCATCAAAGTCGGACGCACGAAGGAACCGAACTATATATCTGAGCAACCTGTCCTGGACCGAGCTCTGCTCGGCGGTGATGGGCGCTCCGGCCCTCGCTTCGGCAGGAGGCTCCTTCGGGTAACCCAACAACAGCCAGTTCAAGGTGGATATGACGACGGCTAGGATGCAAGACGCGGCAAAGTACAAAGTTTTGCGGCGTCGTCGCCGGGCACCCGGGTTGCTTGGGCCTGACCAACTCCACCTGGGTGGGGGCACGGGCCAGATGTCACGAGCATCCACTCGCTTATACGCGGTGCGGGCAGAGGGCACTAAGGACTTTAGGACAAAAGAAGAAAGACACACGGGGGTCCGCAAGCTTATGCCAATGAATCCCAAGGCCCAGTCAGTGAACTTATGTACAACCCCCGGTTTAAGGTTCAAGTCCCTGAAGCTCTTAGAGGGGAGGGGGCCTAAACCGAAACCTAGGGAGGGAAGAGGACCCCTGCTGGCAGAAGGCGGGATGGCACCTCGGGAAAATCCCGCAAGCCCACGCTTACAAGGCGAGGACTGCTCTGACACCAACCGGCCTTGGCAGAAGACATCTTCCCACAAAACTGAGACCCCATCATTTGGCCTTGGCCTTCCAGCGTGCCTTGCCCTTGTAGCCCGGAGCGGTGTCGACATCGGCCTCGCCTCCTCCGGTCGCAGGTGGACGATTGCCCGTGTCCCTGGAGGTCCGAAGCCTGTTCTCGAGGTAATCGAGGTCTTTTAGATATGCTAAATTCGCGGCAGCCCACGAAGGTTTTGCCAGTTTGGCAAAGGGTCGTAGTGAACGCGCACGCTGCTGGCGCCCGAACATGTTCCACATCGGCTCGGGGTAGCCTGCAAAAAGCCAAGCTACAGTCGGGCGGCCACCGTCCAACACCCACTGTTCCACAGCCATCATGCCTTTGGCACAAAATGCCTCGAGGTGAACGTTGCGAGCCAGACGAGCCTCCTGCCACCCGTGAGCTAAAAATGTGGCGAAATAAGCTAAGGATCTGTGGTCGCTGACGGCCATCCGCTTCTCGAGGAACTCCCGCATTAAGCCAGGCGGGATGCTCGCATCGGCCGTCTCCAGACCAAGCTCCTGGCAAGCCGCCAGTCGTATGGCTCGAGCCACCTCCTCGTGATTCTCCAGCTTCAGGTACGCCTCCCTGGCGTTGTGCCCCTTCACGCCGGCCCCTGAGGAGCTGGCGCTTTCGTTGGCCGAGGCGCCTTGGAGGGCGGCGGTGATCGCATCCACCGAGGCAGGAGCTGCTGCATCATGCAAGCCTGGTTGGCCAAAAGCAGGTGTAAGGGGTCCGAGCTCTGCGCGGCAATCTGTTCCAGCTCTGCATCCAGGTCTCCCGCGCCGGCAGCCTCGTCTGCCAACGCATCGGCCCCCGTGGTTCGCACAGGTAGAGGAGCAGTCTCTGGCTTTCCCAGTCGTCCCGCAGCAGGCCCTGCAAGCTGGCGAAGGGTAGCCCATTCCTCGGCGGTCAGACTTCCAGGAGCACTCTGGAACATCCGGCGTGGCAGAGGACTTGCAGATGCACGAGGCTCCACCTGAGGAGAACCAAGAAAGTTGCGAGGCGGGGCCGCCACCGCTGCAGCTTCCAGTTCGGCAACGCGGGCGCGAAGGGCAAGTAGCTCGGCTTGCTCCGCGCCAGGTTGCGGTTCCGCGGCCGCAGCGGCGGGCTCCAGCTCCTCTTCGGCCTCTTCGGCAGTGAAGTACTCCTGCATGGGGTCGTCGGCGTCGGCCTCGGCGACCCACAAACCCAAGGCCTCTAGAGCAGAATGCCATTCCGGTCTCGCCACTGTGCCATGCATCTCCAAGCCCACCACGTGCCCAGCAGTCAAGCGAACGCCACCGGCCCTTCGGAAGGACCCCAAGGCAGACCAAGGCAGGTCGGCCAACACGACGGGCCCGTGCCCCAGAGCAGGGCTTCGCGCTCGCAAAGAACCACAGAAACAGCACCAGTCTCGTCCACGATGCCATTCAAGGCAGCCAGTACGCCCTCGTCCGAGGGAGCCACGATGCTGAAACCTCCACTTCTCGCACGCAGCAGGAAAGTGATGGCCCGCCAGTCTTCTTCGCCTCCAGTCAGTAGCAGAGAAGGTAGAACATGCCGCCCAGATTGCGAAGCCCCGGCGAGCAGGGAGCGGACATCCTGCTCGCCCAGGACCCTCTGATTCACAACTCCGGCGGCCATGCCAGGAACCTGTGCGAGGCAGACTCACGGCAGAGGCGTGAGCCGTCCTGACCAGCGATCTCGCGGTAGTAGGTGGCCAAATTCTGGGTGACGAAGCCAGCTGGATGTCTAGAGCAGAAAGCGCAGATGTAGAAGCGGTTCCGCAGATCCGGCAGCGAAGGTGAAGCTGGAGGCACTGCACGCAGACTCGGCCACTGCTAAGGCGCCAATGCCAGCTCTGAAAGCCTGCCCGACTTGAGCGCGGCTCGTCCAGTCACCAGGTGTGCCCAAGCCTCGAGCGAGATGGTCCTGAGACGGGAAGCCAATGGCACTCAGATCCGTTGGAGTGTCAAGGTCCAGAATGTAGGCCCAGCGCTCCAGATGGGCCCGCGGCCCGGTAAGGGGTACTCCGGCACGAGGAGACTCGGTCACGACCAAGAAACTCGCGGTGCTGTCTCCAGCGATGCCAGGCGAAGTCCGTCCAGCCGAGCCACCAGCTGAGTGCGCAAGCGTATCCTGGTACGGCCTCGAGGGACTGTACCTCACTCGAACAGACAAGCCTGCCAGCTGCAAAGTGATTCTTGAAACAGGTCAATCAGCGTACTCGCGCAACCGCCGAACTTGGTCCGGCCTCCCTGTCCACCAGCCTGGCGTACGACCAGGTGCAGGCCCAGTCAGCCAGAGGCCAAGGAGCCTGAGAATTCGTCCCAGGCAGTGTCGCAGCTCGGCAGAGAGCACTAAAGAGGTGCCAAAGATGCCACAGCAGCAGCCCAAGAGGAAGCAGCAGACAGCCAGGAGGAGGAGCAATGAGAGGCCCCAACCAGAGCTATGGCTGGCGTACGACCAAAGGCGGAGTTCCTGGAGCAAGGGCTGGCCGAAAGATCTGAGGCAAATCGCGGTAAGCGGCCTCACTTCATGTGCTAGGCTGCAAACCCTAAACCCCAAACCCCAAACCCTCTTAGAGTGGCCAGGCAGCCCACGGCAATGGCGAAGTCAAAGGCCACGGGCATCACAACCTCGGTCTCATGATGAAGCAGGAAATGCGGTTGAGGGTCGAGGGTTTAGGGTCTAGGGTCTAGGGTTTAGGGTTTAGGGTTTAGGGTTTAGGGTTTAGGGTTTAGGGTTTAGGGTTTAGGGTTTAGGGTTTAGGGTTTAGGGTTTAGGGTTTAGGGTTTAGGGCACACGCTACCACGACAACTCCGGTGTATCTTGGGGCTTTAAACGCATACACTTTCATGCAGAAGTCGCTCACGGCAGACGCGGCAAAGCATCAGGAATTGCAAGACTTCTGCAGGCTGGAGTGGCGGAAGAGGCCGCAAACGTACACACCCACATCCAGACAAAGATGGCCTCGACAGCGGACAAGGCAGAGAAGTGAGTCGCACATTAAAGGCTCCGGTTCACCCCTCAACCCTACCCTAAACCCTAAACCCTAGACACTAAACCCTAAACCCTAAACCCTCCTCTGTGTGGATGGGCCTGGGACAAGGCGCCAGAGGGTGGCGCCAAGGCCGGACGCACCAGGCCGGGGGCCACCAGGACCTCCTGGCGAGAGGGTTCATGGGGGGTGCCCCCCATTGTGGGGTTTAGGGTTTAGGGTTTAGGGTTTAGGGTTTAGGGTTTAGGGTTTAGGGTTTAGGGTTTAGGGTTGAGGGTTTAGGGTTTAGGGTTTAGGGTTTAGGGTTTAGGGTTTAGGGTTTAGGGTTTAGGGTTTAGGGTTTAGGGTTTAGGGTTTAGGGTTCGGCGCGAAACTCAAGACACCCCCAGCTCTTGGTAAAGAATTTGGGGCGGTTGTTCCCCTGCAACCAGGACCCCAAATTCCCCAAAATCCCTGAACTCCCTGAATTCCCCCAAATTCCCTAAATTCCCCCAATTCCCTAAAGTCCCTTTTCCTGAGCACGAAAGACAAATTTGGGGCATTGTTTTGCTCCTGGAGGAGGATGACGAAGACCACCAGCAGCACCCCGGAGCCTGGCTTGGAAGCCGTCTCCGGAACGAATTGGTTGCAACTGGTTTAGGGATTAGGGTTTAGGGTTTAGGGTTTAGGGTTAGGGTTTCGGGATGAGGGTTTAGGGTTTAGGGTGTAGGGTTTAGGGTGTAGGGTCTAGGGTTTCTGGTATGTTTACGTTGGGGTTTAGGGTTTAGAGCTGAACATCAAGTACTTCAGTCTCCGGATCTCGCAAGCTGAAAAGCAGACCCAGACAGTGTCACTGTGGGACAGTGTTGACTCTACTCTTCTGATGCTTCGTTTTGGTGTGCAGCCGTAGATCTCCCCACCCCGTTCGGGGGCTTGAATTAGCAAAGGACTCCGTCGTCAACATATGGGTGCCCCTGGTACACGACCAAAACCCCCTAAAATACGATCATCCCCAACAAAAAGCGATCATCGTCGGAACCCAAGTAAACGGGTTGCAGACCCTCATTTGGGAAACCCCGGTGCTTGCAACCCGAGCAGCACAGCCATGCAGGCAGGGGGACCGTGGTCTCGGCGACCGCCTTTGCAAAGACAGCAAAAACCCCTATACATCCCTACCAGCACAATCCTGCACATTGACGGACAAGCTTGCGAAAACTTGCGAAAGACACTGCATGCTGCTTCATGTGCTCAAGGCAATGCAGGCTCCGGGCCCAACTCGCCTGCACTAGGGCCACCAGGGTCCGCTGCTCCTGCGTGGTGTTCCCAGCACCTTCATTGGAAGAGGCCAAAGTCGCAAAACTCGGCCGCTGGGTTGGAGAACACGTCCCTAAAACCTAAAACCCTAAACCCTAAACCCTAAACCCTAAACCCTAAACCCTAAACCCTAAACCCTAAACCCTAAACCCTAAACCCTAAGGGATGCTAGGGGCCAGGCCTTGGAGGTGCACAGGCTCGGAGACCAGCACGAGGCTTTTCTGCAGGAAAACCGCCTGCCCACCGGCAGCTCAGAAGCTGTCACACGCGGCGGGAGAAAGATGTCCAATGACTCTCCAATCAGGGTCCCCTAAACCCTAAACCCTAAACCCTAAACCCTAAACCCTAAACCCTAAATCCAGCTCCACATGATCTTTGCCCGCTCAAGTCGCGCGAATCGACTCGCCGGTTCTTGCTGGAGCCCTTAACTTATCTAAACCCTAAACCCTAAACCCTAAACCCTAAACCCTAAACCCTAAACCCTAAACCCAAAACCCTAAACCCTAAACCCTGTATTCAAAGTGTTCCTACTCCCATGCTCCTCGTCATCGACCTCGCAGGTGCTGTCCTGACAAGTGCTGCACTTCCCCGTATGGTTTTCAAGGGAATCTGGGCCGCAGGTGCACCGCGGTACTTCTCCTAAGGCCTTCCCCGGTTTGGGCTTTAGGGTTTGGGGCTTCGGGCATCGGGTTGAGGGTTGAGTGTTGAGGGGTTTAGTGTTCAGGGTTTAGGGTTTAAGGCTTCATCGATGGTGCCATGCACCCCGTTGTCTCAGCCTAGTGAGACACGGCCTCGGGGTGCGCCGAGCCGACTGCTAGCAGCAGAAGACAAGGCAGCCATCGCATGGTCCTTAAAAGCCGATGAGCGTTGCACAGAGGCGTGCCTATGCCTTGAGCTGGTTTCACAAGCCCTACACGCCCCAACTGCACTGAATGAATCACATCTGGCTGCGAACAATCTCCTGATGGGCATTCCAAGCCAAGGCTTCAGGCGAAGCCCCGTCTGAGCACATAAAGCACGTAGGCACCTTCTTTCGCCACTACGAACTTTCGGGCGAAGCCTCGCGACCCCGCCTTCCAATCCCCCGAGCCACCCAACGAAAGCCCCCTCTGGTTCGCGCATGCTCCCTCAACCAACATGCCCATCAGAGACAAATCACCCGAGGGTGTGGCAAACGATCCAGCTGTTGGCGAATGCTGCCAGCGGGCCATCATGCACATACCGAAGACACCCACATTTGTACAACGACCTGCTGGGCTAAGGATCTTCTTGTGACTGTCATGAACTGTTATGGTCCAGAAATTTGAGCATTAACCACTACATCGCCACGGGCACGGTTCAGTTGGATAGTGCCCCCACAGAGGGCACTTAAGCCACACATTGGGCCGGTACTTGTTACGAGCTGACACCAAAGACCAGTCACTCGACGTCAGAAAGTACTTTGAGGGATCAAGACTCGGAACAGCAAGCCGGCTATTTGCAGAGTGGCCCCGTGCAGAATGAATAGAGACCAGGCGCCTACTGCCAAAGCAACCAAGACAGCTAACGGAGAACGGAGGGCACACCTCTGAATTCTACGGCTTCGCCGTGCAAGATGAATGCCAGCAGCGGCAGCCACAACCTGCCAAGCACGTTCCCCTGCTCTCCCCGCCACGTCACTCCCACAAGAATGCCATGCCGACGCAGCTCAACATAACCTCTGCCCACCCCGGCCTCCAGGCTGGGAAAGGTAATGGCATCGTGCAAAAAGGAGCCCATCAGCGCATCGAATTCAATGAATCTCTGCACGTCGAAGCTTTGAGGCTAACATGCGAGACGATGTGAACCTGACCTTCATGCACATTCCGACCCGCACAGTACAAACAGTTGCTTGCAGAGCAACTACAGGCGGCCAGCCTATGAACGAAGTTCAGCTTCACGATGTTCACTACACATGTTCATGTCATGAATCTTGCTTGGACACAGGGGAAGCGAATAGAAAGAAAAAACCAACCCCAACATTGGCCACCATGCCTTCGGGGCAGGTCCTTAAGGGCCTTGGGATACAAAGATGTACAAAGGTCGGGCTTAGCGCTTTTGGAGTGCGAAACGCAACCTCACGCAAAAATCATCAAATCATCAGAGGTTGCAACACGCCGGGCACGTTGGCAGCCGGCCTTGGTGTAAACGCGCGGCTTCAGTTCGTTCGCTTCTTCCGTGCGGAGGGGGGGGGGGGCTGTAGGTCTCAAGGTTTTCGGTGGAAAAAAAGCCCCCAAAACCCTAAGCTGGAACAGAAAATCCCTCAAAAAGCTGAAGTCCTGAACCCCCAAGAAGACAACATCTCCCACGAGCTCGTCTACCGAGCCGCGCATCCGAGCCTTGGGCGGCCTTCGCCTGCAAAACGAAGGATGGTTTGGGAGGTTCGCACGTTTAGAGTTTGGGTTTAGGGTTTAGGGTAGAGGCATAATGATGCATTGTGACGCATACGTAGGAGGCCTCGGGGCAACAAAGGCGGGGTCTGAAAAGTCACGGCTCAGCTGAGCCATTGCATTCACTTTGGCGTCAAGTGCAGACAACAGAGACGCGCTGACATGACTAGATACAGTAGTGATTCGGGTGGAGCCTGGGAAAAGTCACGCCATGGCTGGTCCTGTGCCATTACGACGAGTCATTGCCCCCTCCCCGCCCCCCCCGGGCTGCAACGAGCCTTGTAGCGCTTGAGGCGGCGAACCGAACCAGATACCTAGCACCACCAGTGAAGGTCTGGAATCCTAAACTCCCAAGCTTCACTGTCCCCCCCGGCTGCAACGAGCCTTGTAGCACTTGATGTTGAAGGAGGACTTTGTCCTTCATTCCTCAACAGCAGGACTCTCGAAGGATCGCTTGACGCTAGCTGCCGCTAGCTGGACACGGGAGAGGCGGCGAACCGAACCAAATACCTAGCACCACCAGTGAAGGTCTGAAAATCCTAAACTCCCAAGCTTCACTGTCCCTCCCGGCTGCAACGAGCCTTGTAGCACTTGATGTTGAAGGAGGACTTTGTCCTTCAATTCCTCAACAACAGGACTCTCGAAGGATCGCTTGACGCTAGCTGCCGCTGGCTGGACACGGGAGAGGCGGCGAACCGAACCAGATACCTAGCACCACCAGTGAAGGTCTGAAATCCTAAACTCCCAAGCTTCACTGTCCCCTTCATTCCTCAACAGCAGGACTCTCGAAGGATCGCTTGACGCTAGCTGCCGCTAGCTGGACACGGGAGAGGCGGCGAACCGAACCAGATACCTAGCACCACCAGTGAAGGTCTGGAATCCTAAACTCCCAAGCTTCACTGTCCCCCCCGGCTGCAACGAGCCTTGTAGCACTTGATGTTGAAGGAGGACTTTGTCCTTCATTCCTCAACAGCAGGACTCTCGAAGGATCGCTTGACGCTAGCTGCCGCTAGCTGGACACGGGAGAGGCGGCGAACCGAACCAAATACCTAGCACCACCAGTGAAGGTCTGAAAATCCTAAACTCCCAAGCTTCACTGTCCCTCCCGGCTGCAACGAGCCTTGTAGCACTTGATGTTGAAGGAGGACTTTGTCCTTCAATTCCTCAACAACAGGACTCTCGAAGGATCGCTTGACGCTAGCTGCCGCTGGCTGGACACGGGAGAGGCGGCGAACCGAACCAGATACCTAGCACCACCAGTGAAGGTCTGAAATCCTAAACTCCCAAGCTTCACTGTCCCCTTCATTCCTCAACAGCAGGACTCTCGAAGGATCGCTTGACGCTAGCTGCCGCTAGCTGGACACGGGAGAGGCGGCGAACCGAACCAGATACCTAGCACCACCAGTGAAGGTCTGGAATCCTAAACTCCCAAGACTTGTAGCCCTTGATGTTGAAGGAGGACTTTGTCCTTCATTCCTCAACAACAGGACTCTCGAAGGATCGCTTGACGCTAGCTGCCGCTAGCTGGACACGGGAAAGGCGGCGAACCGAACCAGATACCTAGCACCACCAGTGAAGGTCTGGAATCCTAAACTCCCAAGCTTCACTGTCCCCCCCGGCTGCAACGAGCCTTGTAGCACTTGATGTTGAAGGAGGACTTTGTCCTTCAATTCCTCAACAGCAGGACTCTCGAAGGATCGCTTGACGCTAGCTGCCGCTAGCTGGACACGGGAGAGGCGGCGAACCGAACCAGATACCTAGCACCACCAGTGAAGGTCTGGAATCCTAAACTCCCAAGCTTCACTGTCCCCCCCGGCTGCAACGAGCCTTGTAGCACTTGATGTTGAAGGAGGACTTTGTCCTTGAATTCCTCAACAGCAGGACTCTCGAAGGATCGCTTGACGCTAGCTGCCGCTAGCTGGACACGGGAGAGGCGGCGAACCGAACCAGATACCTAGCACCACCAGTGAAGGTCTGAAATCCTAAACTCCCACGCTTCACTGTCCCCCCCGGCTGCAACGAGCCTGGTAGCACTTGATGTTGAAGGAGGACTTTGTCCTTCAATTCCTCAACAGCAGGACTCTCGAAGGATCGCTTGACGCTAGCTGCCGCTAGCTGGACACGGGAAAGGCGGCGAACCGAACCAGATACCTAGCACCACCAGTGAAGGTCTGAAATCCTAAACTCCCAAGCTTCACTGTCCCCCCCGGCTGCAACGAGCCTTGTAGCACTTGATGTTGAAGGAAGACTTTGTCCTTCATTCCTCAACAACAGGACTCTCGAAGGATCGCTTGACGCTAGCTGCCGCTAGCTGGGCACGGGAGAGGCGGCGAACCGAACCAGATACCTAGCACCACCAGTGAAGGTCTGAAATCCTAAACTCCCACGCTTCACTGTCCCCCCCGGCTGCAACGAGCCTGGTAGCACTTGATGTTGAAGGAGGACTTTGTCCTTCAATTCCTCAACAGCAGGACTCTCGAAGGATCGCTTGACGCTAGCTGCCGCTAGCTGGACACGGGAGAGGCGGCGAACCGAACCAGATACCTAGCACCACCAGTGAAGGTCTGAAATCCTAAACTCCCAAGCTTCACTGTCCCCCCCGGCTGCAACGAGCCTTGTAGCACTTGATGTTGAAGGAAGACTTTGTCCTTCATTCCTCAACAACAGGACTCTCGAAGGATCGCTTGACGCTAGCTGCCGCTAACGGCAAGCGCCAGGGGGGTCGTTCCCACATTTCGGAAGCTTGATTGCCTTTTGGGCGTTTTTTCGGAGGATTTCGGAACGGGAATGCTGCTCAGTGTGGAACTGGTGGGAAGGACCCCGAATTCTCTTCAAATCGTACAGCCGTACAGGTCGGAAGGCGCAGTGTCTTCCAAGTGTTGAACTTCCTTTTGCCTAGCTCTGAAAGAAGGGTTTAGGGGGTTTAGGGTTTAGGGTTTAGGGTTTTGGGTTTTGGGTTTTGGGTTTAGGGTTTATGTTCTGCATTGGAAAACACAGCCCGCGCACATTGCTCTCTAGAAAAAACACATCTGGCTCTAAGAAAGGCTTGCGCCGCACACTCTACGACTCTGCGGCCACATCAGCGTGCAGTCGTCCAGTGCACCTGTCGGAGACTGGGTCTGAACGCATGGAACCAGCCCAATGCCGGCTAATTCTCCTCGCCCCCCGGCCGAGACGCGTCTGGAACAAGCAAACCAAACTCCGCTAACTTTCCCCTCATTCCCAACCCTTTCCCCCACACCCCAGAAGGCGCACACCTTGCCTTCACTCCTCCCCTGCGGGAGCCGGCAAGTCGAGGGCCTGGCATGGCTTAGGGCTTAGGAGGTCGGGTTTCGTCAGCTTCGGGCTTGGGGTTGCTCGGAGCTTTTCCTAAACAGCCAAATTTCGTGCTTGGGGTGAGCCCCTTACGCCTGCGACCCCGAATCTTGCCAAAACCTATATCCTCAACCCGAAACCTTAAACCCTAAACTCAGCCCCGAAACCCTAAACCCCAAACCCCAAACCCCCTCTTCCTACATGTATGTATATATATATATATATATATACACATGTTTTCTTTATTTAAACCTTGCATCCGCGGTATTGTGGTGCCTAGATGGGCTCGATGGACACAGGAATGTCTGTAACAAAATGGCGGTTTTTCGTCTTCACATAGGCTCGATGGACACAGACACGTCCGTAACAAAACAGCGCTTCTTTGCCAAAAAAATGCCCGTAACAAAATGGCACGGTTTCTTTTCGAAGTAGACCCGACGGACACGGAATGTCCCTAACAACATCTCGCTTTTTCTTCTTCTCACAGGCTCGATGGACACAGAAAGGTCCCCAACAAAATAGCACGTCTTTTTGCATGGCCGCGTCGAGTCTTGCAAAAAGTGCCCGTAACAAACTGGCGCGTTTTCTTCTCGAAGTAGGCTCGATGGACACAGGAATGTCCGTAACAAAATGGCGGTTATTCGTCTTCACATGGGCTCGATGGACACAGAAATGTGCCTAACAAAATTGCGTTTTCTGCCAAAACATGCCCGTAACACAATGGCGCGTTTTCTTCTCGAAGTAGACTCGATGGACACAGGATTGTCTGTATCAAAATGCTACACAAAGTGAAGATGGGATTCTCTGGGTGGGTGGGTACTTCTCAGTTACATGATAAAAATGGCTAGACCAGTGAAACTCGTACATGGGATGCTGAGCCCCAAACCGAAACCCTAAACCTTCAACCCCCAACTCAAAAAGCCCACACGCCCCTCACCTGCCTCGGTGGCAGCAGCTGGTGTGCCCTCCGGGGGCCCAAATACCTGCGCTTCGGAGGCTTCGCTTTCGGGTTCTCAGGGACGTCGGAAGGGCTTTTACAAAAAGAGGATTTTGGGGTTACAGCTTCAGGATCTCAATCTGCCCGGCTCATTGCACTGTCGCTGCCTCCAGGTACTTCCTCACCTCAGCAACGCACTGTCACATGTGAAACGGTACCTTGCTTAGCTGCAGCTTTGGATTGTGTACCTTCTCACTTGCAGTGATATGCAGCATGCAAGGGGCCTCTCTGGCGTTGCCAAAGCCTCTCTTTCCACGGCCTCTCGCCATCCTGCGCCCAAAAACTGCAGGAAACACGCATTGAGAGCTCCCAGCAACATGCCCTGTCGTGCCCGTCCTGCGCAGGACATCATCTGTAAGCCGCAGATCCCCCTCACTCCAACCACGCTGGCAATGCATGCGCGCCCAAATCCTTACGATCAGCTCTCACTTTCACAGCTTCTACAGCAAAGCGCTCAAAGCTCCCTCGCGCTGAGCGCAGGTCTGAGCCAGCTCCGTCTCGTCGAAATCTTCCTGAATGCGGACTGCTCTTGCAGCTTGTGCCACACAAACAGCAGATCTCATCAGGTGCTGGGCACATAAGCTGTTCACAAACTGTTCAAGTGCTGACACAGGTCGAACAGGACTTCGTTGAAGTGATGCTTCAGGGCGCTGTTGTACGCGAAAATCGTGGAGTTCATGTCGTCCTGGAAGCTTGGGATTGGCGGAGAAGCATGGAGTGAAACAGCTTATGGTGACACACCTCAAGTCATCTCAAGTCCATCGGCCTCGTGTCCGGCCAGAACGCACGTGTGACGCCTGCTATCCACCAGGTAAAAGAGTTGATCGACTAACGGGGCGCCCTTCACCTTGTCCCCCACCGGATCCAGGCCGTACGCCTCATCAATGAAGAAAACTCCATCCAGGGCGTCCCGAGCTCGCCTCCAAAAACCTTCCACGCCCTCCTCCTTCAGCTGTTCTGCCGTGCACTCCCTGAAGACATTCTTGCCCCGCAGGCCCAAGTCATCCAAAACGGAGGCGAACAAGCGCGCCACCGTCTTCTTCCCGGTGCCCGGGTTTCCAAGGAAGCAGAAATTCCTTGTAGTCACAGACTCAACTTGGAAACACAAACTGCAGAAACAAAGCAGCCACTGTTTCTTGCAACAAATTGCCGCTGCAGCCAAGGTTCAAATTCAGCGGAAGAATCTTTTGGACTTCCCGCGGCATGCGCCGGAACTTCAGGGCCGACCTGTAAAGGCTTACGGCCGCCATCTTCACCTTCTTGAGTCCAGTCAAGGAAAGAAGCTCCTCCATGGCAGCGGAAGCGCAGCCTGCGATGGTTAGCCGGGGGACGGCCCAAGGAGTCCTGTGTGCCCCTGTGTGTGTTTCAAGGCTACGTGGCTACACAGTCTGATCCCTGCAGCTCGCACTCTTCCAGCCTTGGCTCCTCAGGCCCTCCCAGACTTCAGCCGGGTCGTCTGAGGATTCCTCAAGCATTGCATCCTCGGTGCGATGGAGGCTCGGGTGTAGGGTAGAAGGTCTTGGGGTTTAGGGGTTTAGGGGTTTTGGGGTTTTGGGGTTTATGAAGAAGATGTCACTTCTCAGGCTCGACCCGTTCCTCTCGACACTTCATCGTGCAGTGTGTATGCATAGGTGTGTATGTGAACATGCGTCTATATTGATTTTTGTGTATAAGTATGAATATATGTATATTTATATGTATATATATATATGTATATTTATATGGTAAGATGGACCGATAGGAGAGAGAGTGAGAGAGAGAGAGAGAGAGAGAGAGAGAGAGAGAGAGAGAAGCGTGTGGTACCTTGGGGTTGGCTTCGGGGTCCCGGCTCGCCTTCTCGCGGCGGGTAAGCAGGGATGCAATGGAAGGGAAGCGCTGCAACACCGGCACCAAATCCAAGTCCTGTCATGCCAGGAGGGCATCAAGCAAAATACATACTGCACGCCGTATATGTATTTTATATATATATAGATACATGTGTGTATATTGTGTATACAACATATGACTGTATATGTGTGTTTCCGTGTAGACAAACTGAACAGCCAACAACTACAGGGAGCACATGCTCGCCTCCACACGGTGCAGTGCCAGGAGCAGCAGAGGATGAGCGACTTGCCTGCAAAGCTGGGGGGCAACAGTATGGCAAGAATCGCTGCAGCTGCCGTCGCAGCAGCAGCAGCAGTTGTCTGTAAGGCGAACAGATTCATAGCCCCACGTCCTGACTCGCATTCGTGCAGTCTCGAAAATTGTGTCGAAAAAAGAACGGTCAAAGAAGAACAAGGCCGCCTTGTAGCCTGTCGAAGCGCGGTGAGATACTGGTCCAGATGGCTTTTGGCCACTTCGGCGTCGGCAGTGTGCACTTCCAGGGCCATCAGCAGATCCAACAGTGGAAGGGCGACATCGCTTTCCCGGATCAGCTTGTCCAGGACATTCTTTCCAGCAAGTGGTGCAGCAGCTGCATTCATGAAGGACAGGTTCTGAAGGAGATCCCTTTCCTGTGCCTCCGTCAGCTCACCTGTGCCGAGAGCACTGAGTCCCAACTACATGGGTCCCAAAGCCGAGGGCCGAGAGTTGCTGCCGGGGTGCCAGGCGCCAAAGCTTTGCCATCCCACGCTGGTGGGAACAGCACATCTTCGGCCCGGGTCCCGCCAAGCGCCTCGATCCTGTGGTCTTTCAAGTACCACCGCGGGGCCTCTGGCAGGAGCAGCATGGAAGCAATGCAACGCGCACACGGTCTGTCCAGCCTGGCTGGGCGGGGGCGGCCTCGGCTCTGGCCGGGCCTTCGCCTACAAGGCAGCGATACTGGGGACTGGGGGGGAGGCGTGCTCAGGCACTGCACGTGTGTGTGTGAGAAAGAGCCAAAGGCTCCGGCCCTCGCTCCGGCCCTCGGCGCAGCCGTGGGCATGGCCTCAATCGCGCTTGGGGTCAGGAACCACAATGGAGCCTCTGGCAGTAGGAGCCCTGTCCGGCCTGGGACGGCGGGGCCGTCAGCGGCACCTCAGAGAGTCCACAAGGCAGCAGGCCGACGAGCTCTTCGGTGTCATGGTGGCGCTTCGATACTGGGGTCGAAGGTCTCTCGCCCTTTTTTTGCCTCCCCCCACACCCCCCCAGTTATGACAGGGACCAGCCCTTTCGCTGGGAGCCCTTTATCTGGCCTTTTCTTGGGATATTTTTGCAAGCAAAAGTGTGCCGTCCCCCCCAACGTCGGCCCCCTCTCCGGGAGCTGCATTGGGCCAGGCCGACGCGAGTCGCGTAGCGTTAAAATTAGGCTTAAGGGCTTTGTTGCTTTGAGTTGTTGCTGCTTTGGGTCTGGGGGTGTTGCTGCAATGGCAAGGGATCTACGGAGTTGTGGGCAGAAAGCCCGCAGGGGCCATATTCTTAAGGCTATGGAGATGGTGTTGGTGGGGCTCCCAGCAAACAAATCAACTGCTCCAACATCCCGTCCTCTCATCCAAACCCAAAAGTGCTACTGCGACGCCTTCGGCACGTGCACAACCTGCTCGATGTGCTGCTCTACCGGCACGTCCACATTCTCCTTCCGGAAGGAACTTTACTCCGGCGAGGGACTGATTCTTTGGGTCCACTACACAAATGGAACATTGACTGGTTTCTGGCTTCTGTAGAAATTGACACTTTTCGGGGCTCCACCCTGTGCGCCTCCACATGGAGGTGATGGGCACGCTCCTGCTGCGTCACCTTCGGCACGTGCACCTGCTCCTGGCAAGGAAGGCTGTCCTAAACCCCGGCCTGACAGGTCTGGCCGTGCTTTTCAGGATACCCAACGCCAGAAATCCATGCCCAACCCCAACAGCTGCCAAACCCTGAGAGCGCAAATGGCCCCAAAGGGGTCCTGAGTCATGGGCACCTGGACCTCCACAACCTGCTCCACATGCTGGTGGACAATGCGCTCCTGGTAGTCCCAGCGCGCACCCGTCACGAGCAAGCCCCACCCTAGACCCTAAACCCTAAACCCTAAACCCTTATAAACCCTAAACCCTAAACCAAACCCTAAACCCTAAACCCTAAACCCTAAACCCTAAGCCCTAAGCCCTAAGCCCTAAGCCCTAAACCCTAAACCCTAAACCCTAAACCCAGCTCCAGCCTCGACCCTTCAAACCGAGCTGGGGTTCGAGGGTTTCGGCTCTCCTGCGGAATGAGCTTGGGCACACGGACCACATGCTCCTGCCCAAAACGCACAGGCAGAGCGCGGTCTGTCCTAAACCCCGGCCTGACAGTTCTGCCCGTGCCCCTCAGGATACCCAACGCCAGAAATCCATTATTCACCCTAAGTCTTGCCCTAAGTGCCCAACCCCAACAGCTGCCAAACCCTGAGAGCCCAAATGGCCCCAAAGGGGTCCTGAGTCATGGGCACGTGGACCTCCACAACCTGCTCCACATGCTGGTGGACGATGCGCTCCTGGTAGTCCCAGCGCGCACCCGTCACGAGCAAGCCCCACCCTAGACCCTAAACCCTAAACCCTAAACCCTTATAAACCCTAAACCCTAAACCAAACCCTAAACCCTAAACCCTAAACCCTAAACCCTAAGCCCTAAGCCCTAAGCCCTAAGCCCTAAACCCTAAACCCTAAACCCTAAACCCAGCTCCAGCCTCGACCCTTCAAACCGAGCTGGGGTTCGAGGGTTTCGGCTCTCCTGCGGAATGAGCTTGGGCACACGGACCACATGCTCCTGCCCAAAACGCACAGGCAGAGCGCGGTCTGTCCTAAACCCCGGCCTGACAGTTCTGCCCGTGCCCCTCAGGATACCCAACGCCAGAAATCCATATTCACCCTAAGTCTTGCCCTAAGTGCCCAACCCCAACAGCTGCCAAACCCTGAGAGCCCAAATGGCCCCAAAGGGGTCCTGAGTCATGGGCACGTGGACCTCCACAACCTGCTCCACATGCTGGTGGAGGATGCGCTCCTGGTAGTCCCAGCGCGCACCCGTCACGAGCAAGCCCCACCCTAGACCCTAAACCCTCAACCCTAAACCCTTATAAACCCTAAACCCTAAACCAAACCCTAAACCCTAAACCCTAAACCCTAAACCCTAAGCCCTAAGCCCTACCAGCCCTAAGCCCTAAACCCTAAACCCTAAACCCAGCTCCAGCCTCGACCCTTCAAACCGAGCTGGGGTTCGAGGGTTTCGGCTCTCCTGCGGAATGAGCTTGGGCACACGGACCACTTGCTCCTGCCCAAAACGCACAGGCAGAGCGCGGTCTGTCCTAAACCCCGGCCTGACAGTTCTGCCCGTGCCCCTCAGGATACCCAACGCCAGAAATCCATTATTCACCCTAAGTCTTGCCCTAAGTGCCCAACCCCAACAGCTGCCAAACCCTGAGAGCCCAAATGGCCCCAAAGGGGTCCTGAGTCATGGGCACGTGGACCTCCACAACCTGCTCCACATGCTGGTGGACGATGCGCTCCTGGTAGTCCCAGCGCGCACCCGTCACGAGCAAGCCCCACCCTAGACACTGGGAAGGGCTTTTACAAAAAGAGGACTTTGGGGTTACAGCTTTAGGATCTCAATCTGCCGGCTCATTGCACTGTCGCTGCCTCCAGGTACTTCCTCACCTCAGCAACGCACTGTCACATGTGAAACGGTACCTTGCTTAGCTGCAGCTTTGGATTGTGTACCTTCTCACTTGCAGTGATATGCAGCATGCAAGGGGCCTCTCTGGCGTTGCCAAAGCCTCTCTTTCCACGGCCTCTCGCCATCCTGCGCCCAAAAACTGCATGAAACACGCATCGAGAGCTCCCAGCAACATGCCCTGTCGTGCCCGTCCTGCGCAGGACATCATCTGTGAGCCGCAGATCCCCCTCACTCCAACCACGCTGGCAATGCATGCGCGCCCAAATCCTTACGATCCGCTGTCACTTTCACAGCTTCTACAGCAAAGCGCTCAAAGCTCCCTCGCGCTGAGCGCAGGTCTGAGCCAGCTCCGTCTCGTCGAAATCTTCCTGAATGCGGACTGCTCTTGCAGCTTGTGCCACACAAACAGCAGATCTCATCAGGTGCTGGGCACATAAGCTGTTCACAAACTGTTCAAGTGCTGACACAGGTCGAACAGGACTTCGTTGAAGTGATGCTTCAGGGCGCTGTTGTACGCGAAAATCGTGGAGTTCATGTCGTCCTGGAAGCTTGGGATAGGCGGAGAAGCATGGAGTGAAACAGCTTATGGTGACACACCTCAAGTCATCTCAAGTCCATCGGCCTCGTGTCCGGCCAGAACGCACGTGTGACGCCTGCTATCCACCAGGTAAAAGAGTTGATCGACTAACGGGGCGCCCTTCACCTTGTCCCCCACCGGATCCAGGCCGTACGCCTCATCAATGAAGAAAACTCCATCCAGGGCGTCCCGAGCTCGCCTCCAAAAACCTTCCACGCCCTCCTCCTTCAGCTGTTCTGCCGTGCACTCCCTGAAGACATTCTTGCCCCGCAGGCCCAAGTCATCCAAAACGGAGGCGAACAAGCGCGCCACCGTCTTCTTCCCGGTGCCCGGGTTTCCAAGGAAGCAGAAATTCCTTGTAGTCACAGACTCAACTTGGAAACACAAACTGCAGAAACAAAGCAGCCACTGTTTCTTGCAACAAATTGCCGCTGCAGCCAAGGTTCAAATTCAGCGGAAGAATCTTTTGGACTTCCCGCGGCATGCGCCGGAACTTCAGGGCCGACCTGTAAAGGCTTACGGCCGCCATCTTCACCTTCTTGAGTCCAGTCAAGGAAAGAAGCTCCTCCATGGCAGCGGAAGAGCAGCCTGCGATGGTTAGCCGGGGGACGGCCCAAGGAGTCCTGTGTGCCCCTGTGTGTGTTTCAAGGCTACGTGGCTACACAGTCTGATCCCTGCAGCTCGCACTCTTCCAGCCTTGGCTCCTCAGGCCCTCCCAGACTTCAGCCGGGTCGTCTGAGGATTCCTCAAGCATTGCATCCTCGGTGCGATGGAGGCTCGGGTGTAGGGTAGAAGGTCTTGGGGTTTAGGGGTTTAGGGGTTTTGGGGTTTTGGGGTTTATGAAGAAGATGTCACTTCTCAGGCTCGACCCGTTCCTCTCGACACTTCATCGTGCAGTGTGTATGCATAGGTGTGTATGTGAACATGCGTCTATATTGATTTTTGTATGAATATATGTATATTTATATGTATATATATATATATGTATATTTATATGGTAAGATGGACCGATAGGAGAGAGAGTGAGAGTGAGAGAGAGAGAGAGAGAGAGAGAGAGAGAAGCGTGTGGTACCTTGGGGTTGGCTTCGGGGTCCCGGCTCGCCTTCTCGCGGCGGGTAAGCAGGGATGCAATGGAAGGGAAGCGCTGCAACACCGGCACCAAATCCAAGTCCTGTCATGCCAGGAGGGCATCAAGCAAAATACATACTGCACGCCGTATATGTATTTTATAAAAAAAATATATATATTTATATATACATGTGTGTATATTGTGTATACAACATATGACTGTATATGTGTGTTTCCGTGTAGACAAACTGAACAGCCAACAACTACAGGGAGCACATGCTCGCCTCCACGCGGTGCAGTGCCAGGAGCAGCAGAGGATGAGCGACTTGCCTGCAAAACTGGGGGTCAACAGTATGGCAAGAATCGCTGCAGCTGCCGTCGCAGCAGCAGCAGCAGCAGCAGTTGTCTGTAAGGCGAACAGATTCATAGCCCCACGTCCTGACTCGCATTCGTGCAGTCTCGAAAATTGTGTCGAAAAAAGAACGGTCAAAGAAGAACAAGGCCGCCTTGTAGCCTGTCGAAGCGCGGTGAGATACTGGTCCAGATGGCTTTTGGCCACTTCGGCGTCGGCAGTGTGCACTTCCAGGGCCATCAGCAGATCCAACAGTGGAAGGGCGACATCGCTTTCCCGGATCAGCTTGTCCAGGACATTCTTTCCAGCAAGTGGTGCAGCAGCTGCATTCATGAAGGACAGGTTCTGAAGGAGATCCCTTTCCTGTGCCTCCGTCAGCTCACCTGTGCCGAGAGCACTGAGTCCCAACTACATGGGTCCCAAAGCCGAGGGCCGAGAGTTGCTGCCGGGGTGCCAGGCGCCAAAGCTTTGCCATCCCACGCTGGTGGGAACAGCACATCTTCGGCCCGGGTCCCGCCAAGCGCCTCGATCCTGTGGTCTTTCAAGTACCACCGCGGGGCCTCTGGCAGGAGCAGCATGGAAGCAATGCAACGCGCACACGGTCTGTCCAGCCTGGCTGGGCGGGGGCGGCCTCGGCTCTGGCCGGGCCTTCGCCTACAAGGCAGCGATACTGGGGACTGGGGGGGAGGCGTGCTCAGGCACTGCACGTGTGTGTGTGAGAAAGAGCCAAAGGCTCCGGCCCTCGCTCCGGCCCTCGGCGCAGCCGTGGGCATGGCCTCAATCGCGCTTGGGGTCAGGAACCACAATGGAGCCTCTGGCAGTAGGAGCCCTGTCCGGCCTGGGACGGCGGGGCCGTCAGCGGCACCTCAGAGAGTCCACAAGGCAGCAGGCCGACGAGCTCTTCGGTGTCATGGTGGCGCTTCGATACTGGGGTCGAAGGTCTCTCGCCCTTTTTTTGCCTCCCCCCACACCCCCCCAGTTATGACAGGGACCAGCCCTTTCGCTGGGAGCCCTTTATCTGGCCTTTTCTTGGGATATTTTTGCAAGCAAAAGTGTGCCGTCCCCCCCAACGTCGGCCCCCTCTCCGGGAGCTGCATTGGGCCAGGCCGACGCGAGTCGCGTAGCGTTAAAATTAGGCTTAAGGGCTTTGTTGCTTTGAGTTGTTGCTGCTTTGGGTCTGGGGGTGTTGCTGCAATGGCAAGGGATCTACGGAGTTGTGGGCAGAAAGCCCGCAGGGGCCATATTCTTAAGGCTATGGAGATGGTGTTGGTGGGGCTCCCAGCAAACAAATCAACTGCTCCAACATCCCGTCCTCTCATCCAAACCCAAAAGTGCTACTGCGACGCCTTCGGCACGTGCACAACCTGCTCGATGTGCTGCTCTACCGGCACGTCCACATTCTCCTTCCGGAAGGAACTTTACTCCGGCGAGGGACTGATTCTTTGGGTCCACTACACAAATGGAACATTGACTGGTTTCTGGCTTCTGTAGAAATTGACACTTTTCGGGGCTCCACCCTGTGCGCCTCCACATGGAGGTGATGGGCACGCTCCTGCTGCGTCACCTTCGGCACGTGCACCTGCTCCTGGCAAGGAAGGCTGTCCTAAACCCCGGCCTGACATTTCGCCAGAAATCCATGCCCAACCCCAACAGCTGCCAAACCCTGAGAGCCCAAATGGCACCAAGGGGTCCTGAGTCATGGGCACGTGGACCTCCACAACCTGCTCCACATGCTGGTGGACGATGCGCTCCTGGTAGTCCCAGCGCGCACCCGTCACGAGCAAGCCCCACCCTAAACCCTAAACCCTTATAAACCCTAAACCCTAAACCCTAAACCAAACCCTAAACCCTAAACTCTAAACCCTAAACCCTAAACCCTAAACCCAGCTCCAGCCTCGACCCTTCAAACCGAGCTGGGGTTCGAGGGTTTCGGCTCTCCTGCGGAATGAGCTTGGGCACACGGACCACTTGCTCCTGCCCAAAACGCACAGGCAGAGCGCGGTCTGTCCTAAACCCCGGCCTGACAGTTCTGCCCGTGCCCCTCAGGATACCCAATGCCAGAAATCCATATTCACCCTAAGTCTTGCCCTAAGTGCCCAACCCCAACAGCTGCCAAACCCTGAGAGCCCAAATGGCCCCAAAGGGGTCCTGAGTCATGGGCACGTGGACCTCCACAACCTGCTCCACATGCTGGTGGACGATGCGCTCCTGGTAGTCCCAGCGCGCACCCGTCACGAGCAAGCCCCACCCTAAACCCTAACCCCTTATAAACCCTAAACCCTAAACCCTAAACCTAACCCTAAACCCTAAACTCTAAACCCTAAACCCTAAACCAGCCTCGACCCTTCAAACCGAGCTGGGGTTCGAGGGTTTCGGCTCTCCTGCGGAATGAGCTTGGGCACACGGACCACTTGCTCCTGCCCAAAACGCACAGGCAGAGCGCGGTCTGTCCTAAACCCCGGCCTGACAGTTCTGCCCGTGCCCCTCAGGATACCCAACGCCAGAAATCCATATTCACCCTAAGTCTTGCCCTAAGTGCCCAACCCCAACAGCTGCCAAACCCTGAGAGCCCAAATGGCCCCAAAGGGGTCCTGAGTCATGGGCACGTGGACCTCCACAACCTGCTCCACATGCTGGTGGACGATGCGCTCCTGGTAGTCCCAGCGCGCAGACCCGTCACGTTATAAACCCTAAACCCTTATAAACCCTAAACTAACCACACCCTAAACCCTAAACCCTAAACCCAAGCCCTAACCCTGAACTCGAAACCCAGCTCCAGCCTCGACCCTTCAAACCGAGCTGGGTGTTCGAGGGTTTCGGCTCTCCTGCGGAATGAAGCTTGGGCACACGGACCACCTGCTCCTGCCCAAAACGCACAGGCAGAGCGCGGTCTGTCCTAAACCCCGGCCTGACAGTTCTGCCCGTGCCCCTCAGGATACCCAACGCCAGAAATCCATTATTCACCCTAAGTCTTGCCCTAAGTGCCCAACCCCAACAGCTGCCAAACCCTGAGAGCCCAAATGGCCCCAAAGGGGTCCTGAGTCATGGGCACGTGGACCTCCACAACCTGCTCCACATGCTGGTGGACGATGCGCTCCTGGTAGTCCCAGCGCGCACCCGTCACGAGCAAGCCCCACCCTAGACCCTAAACCCTGAACCCTAAACCCTTATAAACCCTAGACCCTAAACCCTAAACCCTAAGCCCTAAACCCTAAACCCTAAACCCAGCTCCAGCCTCGACCCTTCAAACCGAGCTGGGGTTCGAGGGTTTCGGCTCTCCTGCGGAATGAGCTTGGGCACACGGACCACCTGCTCCTGCCCAAAACGCACAGGCAGAGCGCGGTCTGTCCTAAACCCCGGCCTGACAGTTCTGCCCGTGCCCCTCAGGATACCCAACGCCAGAAATCCATATTCACCCTAAGTCTTGCCCTAAGTGCCCAACCCCAACAGCTGCCAAACCCTGAGAGCCCAAATGGCCCCAAAGGGGTCCTGAGTCATGGGCACGTGGACCTCCACAACCTGCTCCACATGCTGGTGGAGGATGCGCTCCTGGTAGTCCAGCGCGCACCCGTCACGAGCAAGCCCCACCCTAGACCCTAAACCCTAAACCCTAAACCCTTATAAACCCTAAACCCTAAACCAAACCCTAAACCCTAAACCCTAAACCCTAAACCCTAAGCCCTAAGCCCTACCAAACCCTAAACCCTAAACCCTAAACCCTAAACCCAGCTCCAGCCTCGACCCTTCAAACCGAGCTGGGGTTCGAGGGTTTCGGCTCTCCTGCGGAATGAGCTTGGGCACACGGACCACTTGCTCCTGCCCAAAACGCACAGGCAGAGCGCGGTCTGTCCTAAACCCCGGCCTGACAGTTCTGCCCGTGCCCCTCAGGATACCCAACGCCAGAAATCCATTATTCACCCTAAGTCTTGCCCTAAGTGCCCAACCCCAACAGCTGCCAAACCCTGAGAGCCCAAATGGCCCCAAAGGGGTCCTGAGTCATGGGCACGTGGACCTCCACAACCTGCTCCACATGCTGGTGGACGATGCGCTCCTGGTAGTCCCAGCGCGCACCCGTCACGAGCAAGCCCCACCCTAGACCCTAAACCCTGAACCCTAAACCCTTATAAACCCTAGACCCTAAACCCTAAACCCTAAGCCCTAAACCCTAAACCCTAAACCCAGCTCCAGCCTCGACCCTTCAAACCGAGCTGGGGTTCGAGGGTTTCGGCTCTCCTGCGGAATGAGCTTGGGCACACGGACCACCTGCTCCTGCCCAAAACGCACAGGCAGAGCGCGGTCTGTCCTAAACCCCGGCCTGACAGTTCTGCCCGTGCCCCTCAGGATACCCAACGCCAGAAATCCATATTCACCCTAAGTCTTGCCCTAAGTGCCCAACCCCAACAGCTGCCAAACCCTGAGAGCCCAAATGGCCCCAAAGGGGTCCTGAGTCATGGGCACGTGGACCTCCACAACCTGCTCCACATGCTGGTGGACGATGCGCTCCTGGTAGTCCCAGCGCGCACCCGTCACGAGCAAGCCCCACCCTAGACCCTAAACCCTAAACCATAAACCAAACCCTAAACCCTAAACTCTAAACCCTAAACCCTAAACCCTAAACCCTAAGCCCTAAACCCTAAACCCTAAACCCAGCTCTCCAGCCTCGACCCTTCAAACCGAGCTGGGGTTCGAGGGTTTCGGCTCTCCTGCGGAATGAGCTTGGGCACACGGACCACATGCTCCTGCCCAAAACGCACAGGCAGAGCGCGGTGGAGCTTCGGGTCAAGCGCGCAGATTTTTGTCGACATCCTTCCCATCAAACTTGCAGGAGACTCCCAAATCAAAATCCGAGAAACGCAACGGTTGGGGCTATTCAGGGCCGGAGGCTCCCGAGCCTGGCAGCTACAAACCGCAAAGTCACCTCAACAAGAGCTTAGTATCATAATAAGGGTACTCTTCTTTTGGGGGGACTGGGGGGGGAGGGTGGGGGGAAAGGGGGTTGGCCACTTTATAACGGAACCCAGAAACCAAAAAACAACAGAGTAGAGGGTACCACTGGGCCACGAAAGGTTCCGCCGGTTTCCTGTTCCGGCTTCCTGCCTCGCCCTTGGCCTCCCTAAACCCTAAAACCCTAAAACCCTAAAACCCTAAAAACCTAAAACCCTAAAACCCTAAAACCCTAAAACCCTAAAACCCTAAAACCCTAAAACCCTAAACCCTAAACCCCTGAACCTCTCTTTATTTGAGCAGGCCTTTTGCAAACCCTACGAGCAGGCCTTTTGCAAACCCTAAGAGGCCTGCTTGAGAACAAAGAAAGCCCCCGGCCCTGAACCCTGCAAATCTACAACCGGTTGCATGGTCCCTTGGTATGGGCCCTTAAAAGGGTGCCCCCTTGTATACCCTTTATATACCCTCTACTAATTTCAGGGGCTCATGCATCAGAACCCTGTTTTAAGGAGGTTAGGGACCATATTCAGGGCCCATGAAACTACCCTCACAACATTGAAATGCTGCCGGAGAAGACCAGCACCCTAGACCCTGAACCCTAAACCCTAAACCCGGGGTTTGGGGTTTAGGGTTTGGGGGTTTGGAACTCTTCAAACCACTACAAATTCAGGCCTGGGCCTGCGGGATTGGGATCTCGACCACCTGCCCAAAAGTGCGCACACCCTTCCCAGCCCACAAGACTAGGGAATTTCGGCCGGGGGGCTTTTGCGTGGTTAAGTTGTAAGACAATAGCCTTTGGGAGATCGCTAAGCAAGCCCCCCCCACCCCCCGCCCCACCCCACCCCCCCCCTTACTCTTCAGAGAGGATTCTCGTGGTTTTTGAATCCTACAAAAAGGAATATGAATCCTACTAGATATTCTGCAAACTTCTAGGAGTCATATTCAAATTAACAAGGTCCCGGAAACAAAAAAAACCTCCATGTTTAAGGGGGCGGCCGGGGGGGGGGCGGGGGGGGTCGGGGGCGGGGGGGGGGGGGGGGGGGAAGGGGGGGCTTTGTTGTCTGGGACTTAGGTTTTCAGGAGAGGGGGTCCCTGCAAAACTGGGTCTCCAGGAATCAGGAGAGGGGGGGGGGGTCCTTGGGGACTTAGCTGGGATTCAGGGGGTCCCCAAAAACCTGCATCCCCAGGACCTGGGAGGGGGCGGGGGCTGGGTCCCCAGGGGGGAACCTTGAAGGCATTGGCGGCATTGAGGTTAGACACACAGCGCGCCACTTCGTTTTCACCCTCCCAAGTGCTGCGCCTGCCGCGCGAAGCTGCTTGTGGGCTCATGTAGCCCCGGATGTCGGACCCTTGCACACAGCAGCAGGCTGCTGCAGGGCCCCGAGCGGCTAAACCCTAAACCCGAGACCCTAAACCCTAAACCATTAACCCTTAAACCCTAAACCCGAAACCCTAACCCTACGAACTTCTTGACGGAAGCAGCGGCCTGCGGATGGTCTCAAGGACGGCCGTCTCCAGCGCCAGGTCGCTGCCGAGCTGGATCCTGCACACATGCATGGTGGGCGTAGGGTTTAGGGTTTAGGGTTTAGAGAGGTTCAGGTTTGTTTAAGGTTTAGGGTTTAGGGTTTAGGGTTTAGGGTTTAGGGTTTGGGGTTTGGGGTTTGGGGTTTGGGGTTTGGGGTTTGGGGTTTGGGGTTTAGGGTTCCTTCTGAAAATCAACTACCAAGCCCCAACTCCCTCTCCCCCCCCCCCTTTTGCATTCCCGAGGGAAGCTTCGACTCCTCCTAAACCCTAAACCCCACACCCTAGTTACACCCTAAACCCGAACCCCTCAACCCTAAACCCTAAACCCTAACCCTAAACCCTAAACCCTAATTTCTAAACCCTAAACCCTGAATTTTGAACAAACCTAAACCCCTCTAAACCCTCAACCATGAACTCTAACACCCTTCTTAAACCCTAAACCCTGAACAAACCTGAACCCCTCTCAACCCTAAACCATGAACTCTAAAACCCTTCTGAAACCCTAAACCCTGAACAAACCTGAAAACCCTAAACCCTAAACCCCTCTAAACCGTAAACCCTACTGCCCGTTTTAAAACCCTTCTCAGAGCCGAGGCACAGCGCCGCCTGGGCCTCTGCGTGGCTGAGGCGGCTCACGGCCTGCAAAAAAGGCAAACAGAGAAGACTTCGGGTAGGGTTTAGGGTTTAGGGTTTAGGGTTTAGGGTTTAGGGTTTAGGGTTCAGGGTTCAGGGTTTAGGGTTTGGGGTTTGAGGTTTGGGGTTTGGGGTTTGGGGTTTGGGGGTTTAGGGTTTTGACAATGACCAGAGGTTCGTAACACGACTTAGTTGCAGAAAGACACAACATCCATTCCTAGACGTCCGATAGTGAAAAACCCAGGTGGTCGTTTAGGTAGATGTGTCCCCGAGATCCCGATGTACTGAACACTCACTGAGCCAAACCTGCTCCAGGTGCTGCTGTATCACGCGCGTCTGCGTCATGATCTTTGGCACTTCGAGGACTTGCTCCTGACCCTGCCAGGGTCAAAAGCCCTAAACCCTGAACCCTTAAACCTTTAAACCCGAAAACCTTACGGTTTTGCGATTTGGGGTCTAGTGTTCAGGGTGTGCTCGCCAAGGTCGCGCTTTCAGGATTTTGGGGGGGGCAGCGTTACCAACCAAACCAGAGCCAAGCCGAAAGACACAAGCTCAAACATTTTGCTTTGCATCGGAGATTTTCTTGCCATATGCCCTATCCACGACTCAAGCTGGTTTAGTGTTTGAGGGCTTCAGAGTTTCAAGGTTCGAGGATTTAGGAGCTTCAACAGCCCAACCACATGTAAGAGCTCGGCTGGCATGGGCTGCGGTGTCCCGTAGGGTGCCCCCTGAGGCTGCCCTGGGACCTGGCGACTTCGGGCTAAAGGAAGTAGGGACTGAGACTCTAGGGTTTAGGGTTTCAGGTTTACGGTTTATAGAAATTGTATAGGGTTTGGGTCCCAAGCAGTTTTTTGACCGGCCAACCTTTTCTTCATAAATTGAGCTAAACAGGTTGGCCGGTTGAAAAGACAACATGAGTCAGCTCATTTCACTGGCCAACCTTTTGCTCTTGTTTGAGTACACCAAGGTTGGCCGGTGAAAAGCGTGTTTTTTCACCGGCCAACCTGCTCTCTTTAACGGAAAAAAATAAGCAAAAGGTTGGCCGGTGCAAGAGGCCGTTTCCATAGTTTCTGATTCAGAACCTCTTATTACATTTTTAGGCCCCGGGCCTGTTGGACCTGGTTTCGAGCCTAAATCGAAGCCTCTCGAGGTTTGATTTGGAGTGCTGGGGCTGGGGATGGGTGTGGGGCTGGGGCTGGGCTTTGGGATAAATGAAGCTGTTTAGCAAAATAACTTGGGAAATTCCGCATTGATCTTAATTTTGTGCCTTTCGGGGCTTAATTTGGAGCTTGATTTGGAACCTCCAGGGCCTCATTTGGGGCTTGAGTTTTGGCTGAATTTGGGCTTCCGGGGCGTAATTTGGAACTTAATTTGGTGCCCTTTTGGGGCCTCATTTGCAGTTGGGCTTCCGGTTAATTTGGGGCCTCATTAAGGGTTTCTTAGTTTTTGTCTCAATTCTTTTTTGGCTTAATTTGGGCTCCCGGCCTTAATTTGGAGCCCATAGGGTGCACCCTGCGGCTGCCCTGGGGCCTGCTGGCGGCTTTGGGACTTCAGCGTGGTCTGTGGCTGATCACCCTGCTTTGGTTTGTGCTGGGATTGCATGTGCCCGTCTATGACATGCGCATGTCTTTGTTCAAGGGGGTGCTTATCAAGTCTATTCCGGTTAGTATAGTGATACAGGCGAACCACCTTTTACCGGTCGGAGCTTCAAGTCTTGACAACTCTTTTTCTTGGAAGGCTTACTGTTGGTTAGCAAGGAATGAGGGAATTAGGGCCCTATACATACCCTTTAAGGGGTTAGATAGGGTACCTCATTTCCCCCATTCCTTACTAAGTCCTAAACCCTAAACCCTCAAGAGAAAATAAATAGAAATTGTATGGGTATCATTCTGAATGTTCCAAGGTTATTTGTCTAAACAGCTGACAAGCAGAGTTTAAGTACATTCATCCACAGCGCCTGGGAGGCCACACCCAAAGAATCCCAGAAGGGCCGGAAGGCCCCCAAAATATAAATTAGGTTCTAAAACAGAAACTTTCACTCAAAACTTTCGCTCAGAACTTTCGCTCAAAACGTTCTTGGGGCCCCAAACCCTATACAATTTCTATAAACCAACAGTAAGTAGGTGCCCCTGCAAGGGTTCTGGCTTCCATGGTTGAGGCCGGGCCGGCTGACTTCGGGCTTTTGGCTGCTTCGAAAACTAGACCCGAGGGTACCCTTCTTGGTTTTAAGGGGATTATAAGGGAACCCCAACCCTAAAGAAGGAAACAAGGGCCTACTCCGGGTCCTAGAAAATTTATCTTTTGTCTTTCGAAGTTGTTTACAAGCAACTACTGCAACGCCACAGGTTTGAGTGCCGGCCTGGGGCATGGGGACAACCTGCTCTTGTGCCACCGGGACAGGCACCTCGACAGAGAATGGGCTGATCTGTCAAGCTTCAGGGATACTAGCAAAGGGGGTCCCCCGTAATATAGACCCCCAAATAGTAGGATCCGCTTTTTATCAAGAACCCAATAAGGTACCCCCAAAGATCGTAAACCCCGTCCAAACAATCCTGTCATGACTCGAAGCGGAAGATAGATCTTGGTCAGGCCTCGCCTCAAGGATCTGCTCCACTGGCTGGTGCACGACGCGGGTTTCTGTGGTGAGTTCAGGCACGTGAATAATCTCCTCCTGGGTGCTGGGGATCGGGACCTCCACGACCTGCTCCACGTGCTGCTGCATGACCCGGGTCTGCGTCATGATCTTGGGGACGTGCACAACCTCCACAGGAAACTCCACGACCTGCTCAACGTGCTGCTTCTGGGTCATCACCTGCCCGGTCCCTCCGCTTCAGAGTCGAGGGTTAGGGTGTTGCAGACGGGCTTTCGGGGAGAGAACACACCCACCCACACACCCACGCACCCACCCACCCACCCATGCACGCACGCTCGCTCACTCTCACTCGCTCTCGCGCTCGCGCTCGCGCTCGCGCGCGAGATTCACATTACAGTAGGAGCGGAAGCAGGCGCGTAAAAGACCTGTTTCGTGGACTTTTGGAAAGGTTTGGGGTTTGGGGGGGCTGGTTGCGACCATGCTACTCTATCCATGCCCAAAACACCGGTATTTACAGCGTTTTTGCTCCTCTACATGTTTGACGTTTCTGTAACAAGACACACTGCCACAAGGATTCTGCGAACGACGTCGATCCACTAACAACTGCCAGCAGAAGCAACAAAAAAATGCACAAAACTGACCTTGTGTGCATGTCGTAAAACCATCGCAAAAAAAAACATGGCTTTATGTGCTTGTTTGCCGCCATGGTGACCTTTCACTAGAGCGCCTGAAGTGAAAGGAGTCACGTGTACTTCTGTGTCATATATTTTCGCTAGATAAAGAAATTAAAAAATTGGTTTTAACAGTGTTTGTTGCTGTGGGACATCCTAACCTGATTCTCGCGTTCCTGGAAAATGTACATACAGACTGTGCTTGAGCAGCTAAAACCCACGCGAAAACAGCGTCCGCACCTCCAAGCCACCAGGTTCTTTACGCGCCTGCAACCTAGGAGCCTCCTTAAAGACCACGACGCCCGGCCAACCATCCTCACACCCCAAACATCCCTAAAATTCCAAATCCTGAACCCAGAGTGCCACAATCCAAAACAGCCGTTAAACCCGGGCCTTGGGGACATGCACCTGCTCCTCCCGCATCATGGGCACCTAGGCTCGTGACCTACTCAGAAGCAAGAGAGAGAGAGAGAGAGAACAAAAAAAAGAATAATCAAAAAAGAAGAGAGAGAGAGAGAGAGCGAAAGAGCGAAAGAGCGAAAGAGAGAAAGAGAGAAAGAGAGAAAGAGAGAAAGAGAGAAAGAGAGAAAGAGAGAAAGAGAGAAAGTGAGAAAGAGAGAAAGAGAGAAAGAGAGAAAGAGAGAAAGAGAGAAAGAGAGAAAGAGAGAAAGAGAGAAAGAGAGAAAGAGAGAAAGAGAGAAAGAGAGAAAGAGAGAAAGAGAGAAAGAGAGAAAGAGAGAAAGAGAGAAAGATAGAAAGAGAGAAAGAGAGAAAGAGAGAAAGAGAGAAAGAGAGAAAGAGAGAAAGAGAGAAAGGGAGAAAGAGAGAAAGGGAGAAAGGGAGAAAGGGAGAAAGGGAGAGAAAAAGAGAGCAAAAGAGAGAAAAAGAGGGAGAGAGAGTGAGCGAGAGAAAGAGAGAGAAAGAGAAAGAAAGAGAAAGAAAGAGAGAAAATGAGAGAAACAAAGAAAGAGAGAAATGGAGAAATGATTTGCACGATCTATAAGGGGGACCTGCGGGATGAAAAAAAAGAAGAAGGATGCCACTGCCGTTCCTAGGCGCTGGAACTTCCACTGCTTGCTCCACGGGCACTTGGTACTGGCCTCAATAGGGTTCTTGGGATTCAGGGTTTCGAGAAGCAAGCGGGCTTCAGCATGTTTCTGGGGATGTGGAGCGCTTCGGGCTCTAGGCTTTTCAGAGTTCGGGGTTTGGGCGTTAAGGGCAACAGGCCTGCGCCAGAGGCCTTTTGTTTACCTGGGTGCCCGCAGCGGTGTCAAAGCATCAGCTTGGATACGATGTTTGCTTCGATGGTGTGCTGGTTCGATCCGTGTTGATGCTCTGGCTGGTTGTTGGTACACCCATGCGTCGCTAGTCGGCTTGGTGCCTCAACAAGCACAACGGCGAGCCACAAAGCCTTGGTGCACCGAACAGGTGGGGTGTCCCAAACCCTGTCCCTCAGGCGAGGGCGAGCTTGTGTCTGTGTCACTGCCACGTGGACAACCTCCTCCACAATCTGTGGCACAGGGATATCGACCTGGGATCGCAAGTATGTGAGACCAAGAGCTGGGCCTAAGAGGCCTATGCCGCGTGGCTTTGAGTTGTACACAACGCCATGGAAAACCCTCACTCTGAAGCACACCCTAAGCCCTAAGCTCCAAAGAACCCATGGCAGTCTGGCGACCATCTGCTCGACATGGCGATGGGAGACCTTCGGCTGCTGGATGGCCTGCGGCACCTGGCCCCGCGCTGGGGTTCAGGGACTCAAGATGTCGGTGCTCGTGAAGCGCACGTTTAAGCCTCGGATCGTGCTCCTGTGTGTGACGCTTGTGGTGTGCTGCCGTTATGACAGTACACTGTTCGAATGGTGCGTCTTGGCTGCGCCATCGGTTTTATGATTGCAAAAGCTTCTGCTGTGGGTGAGAAGTTTGTTTACATCTTTCATTTCGCCAGACCTCCACGCACGACTTGGCCCTAAACCCTAACCCCTAAACGCTAGACCCCCCCCGCAATAATGTTTCTTCCAATGTTGGGGGATGCTGCCTGAACGACCTGCTCCACGGGCTGCTGCACAATCTCGGGGACCTCCCCAGCTTCCGAGCTTAAGGGTTGGAAGGGTTTGATAACAAGGGGAGGGAGGTCCAAAGGGGGGATAACCTCTTCTTTCCTCAGCACTCCTCCGAATGCTCCCTAAGCTCACCTGAGGCTTCTCCAGCTGCTAGGAACTTGGAAGTTCAGGGTTCTACTGTCTGGTTTTTGAACGGCTTGAGCAGCCCAGTGACCACAAAAGGCACCACCCGGCTTCCTACGGGCCTTTGGCATTGAAGGCTTTCAGGGCTTTGGCGTTTTACGACTTAGGATTAGGAATCCGCCAACCTGCCAGCTTACGCTTGGCATTCTCGACCTCCTGTCGTCTTTCAGTTCAACTGGCGACCCGTAGATTGCACAGATGGCCCTCACCACGCGCTTCAAGATGACCCTGGAAACGAGAGTTCAATCATGGTCAAACTCTTACATAGCTGAACTTTGGCCCCGCCTCTGTGGCAAATCCAGTGTTCGGTTCTGAGGAAGTGGCTTGAAGCCTGTCCTCACAAGCAATCGCTGGACAATGCAGGAGACCGTCCTCAGCAGCTTGCCTTTTAAGAAGGCTGGGTCTAGCTAGGCGGTGAGACATGCAGCAGTGTGCCATTTGTACTCTGACTTGCAACCGCACATTGAAGAGAGAGAGAGGAGGGAGGGAAGGAGGGAGGGACGGAGTGAATCAAGTCGGGCACAGCTAGTTCTCCACCCACCGGACAAACTATGCCGACCTCTGCTTCCTTCAGCGAAGCCTCCGTGGCCGCTTGGCGTTCCTGGCGGCACCCGGCTTAGGGTTTAGGGTTTAGGGTTTAGGGTTTAGGGTTTAGGGTTTAGGGTTTAGGGTTTAGGGTTTAGGGTTTAGGGTTTAGGGTTTAGGGTTTAGGGTTTAGGGTTTAGAGTTTGGGGTTTTCGGGTTTTAGGGTTTATTTAGGGTTTAGGGAAACGGGAAGGAGAGAAACCCGCAGACATTGAAGACGCAGCAACTTTCAAGGGCCGGGCGGCCCCTGCCCTCGGCACAGCCGATGGCGACTACGTTGACTCGCGCCATGCACGTCTCAGTAAAGAAGCCCCAAACCATGGACTCATCAACCTTGAAGCCTTAAACCTCAAGCAACTTGAACCCTGAAGCTTGAAACAACGTCACAACTCCGGAGCCCCACCTCCTCCAGCTGCTTGTCCAGCAGCTTTGCCTTAAAATTTGGGCTCAGGGCACGGGGTACACTACCGGCAAGGTCACCCCTGGTCCAGACTTGAGACTTCAGGCGTGCTCCACATGGCTCATAAAAAAACTGCACGAGTATTTGCGCAACGGACGCTCCTCAATCACACTCCTCAAATCGCAAGCCTGAAAAAAAATCTGCAAAACAAGTTGATAACGGCCCACAACCGACCAAGAAGCCACGTGCGACTCGAGCATCGCGAACTCCGCGGCACTGAGGTGCAGCACCTCATGGCGCGTTGGCAGGTGTGCTGTTATGACGAGCGTTTCTGACTGGCGGCAACACTCATGGCCTTCGCCCTTCGCGGGAAGGACTCGTGCTTCCAGAAGCGCCCGCAAGCAACAGCAACAACTTAAAGCCCTTTCCCGGCCAAGACTGCCGATTCTGATCCACATTGACTCGGCACACTATGTCAACGCGTACAATTCGTGACACCGGTTCAATGAAACTTGCTGCTTTCCAAACACTTACCGCTTGTCGACTTTCTGAGCTGGACATTGCCATCATCAGCCCAAAGGGATTTCCACTTGCGGAGTCAGCAAGGAACGACTGGCCGCGTAAGCCAAAAGCTTTGGGAACGTCAGCAGTAGCCACTCACAGGTTAGAGACGCGACCCATGCACCCACATCGACTACAGTGTGTGTGTGTGTGTGTAGGCTAGCTTCTGGCGGTTCTGACCCAGTAGAGCGTACATGAGCGGTTTCTTTCTTGCCGAAACAGGTGAGTGTGTACGTCTGCGTGTGTGTGAAGAGAAATGTCCATGTCAGTCAGCTTCGAAGCCCAAACCTCTTCAATCGTGAAGCCCCTTCGTCTCAGCGGTGGCCTCCCAATACCAGCGGTGCCAGTTCACCATGCTTCCAAGAATGGGCCCTCAATTTGGGTCCCTTGGTATGCAACCCGTAAACACCGTGCCCATGCTTCGGATCCCTGTAAATAAGGGTAGGGCACAATACTAAGGGCCCATGGTTCCAACCTTAGAGAACACAACTTGCAAAGCGCTTGGGGCCTATGAAGGCGGTGAGTTCAAAGCAGGCAGTGGTCGAGTGCTGCAATAAAGGACTTGGCGAATCAATTGGGGCTTGGGATCATGGAGCTTTCTGAAGGTGTCTTCGTGTGTTTCCACAAGTCCTATGACGAGGCACTTGGCATGGCGGTCGTAACTTGA